CCCCCTGGCTTTCCATCATGAGGGGCCGTTGCTCTCAAAAACTCAGTGTGCTGGCCAAGGCTGGCTTCCTGCTCTGGGTGCTGTGGCTGGGCTACCTTCTGTTAGAAAGCTCCTCGTTCCCCTCCTCTTCCTCCCCAGAGCAGGAAGACGAGGGCCGCGATGTCGTGGCGAGGCAGCTCTCCCTGGAGGAGTCCGGGGTGTACGGGCAGCTGGCGAGGCCCCTCTACGTTAAGCCGCCACCGGACCACAATGCACCGGGGGAGATGGGTCGGGCCACACACCTCAACCTCGGCGCCGAGGAAAAGAAACAGGAGGAGGACAGCGTGGAGAGCTATGCGATCAATATCTATGTCAGTGACAAGATCTCCCTCCATCGGCACATCCAGGACCACAGGATGAATGAGTGAGTAGAGCAAAAAGGCAGTAATTCTTCCTTTATTGCTTGGTATTTTCTATTATATTCTACCATATATACTGTATATCTGTCCTTGAAAGCTGCATGGAGCTGATAACTATGCTACAACTGTGTCAGGGATATATTACTCAATAGAGATTAAGTTGAGCTCTTTACTGGGAACAGTTTTCCACTGACAGTTAGAAACAAGGATGAAAGCTCTCGGGATGCATCGCGGGGCTTTTTGAAGCTGGTGTAAATAGCTCTCTGCCTGAATGGAATTATTATTTTTTTTTCCATCCACAATTGTTGTCCGCAGCTATTCCCAACTCAGCCTCTGCGATGACACACGAAGCACGACGTCTTTTATTAATGGCTTCTCCTTCTGCTTCTCCTTCTGCCATACTGGCTCCCCATTCTAATGAAACCCAGATGTGGAGACAACCATCATATATGTAAAAGTCATGGAATTGGAGTGTCCCAGTTCAGCTCGTAGTCTCTTTAGCAGTCCTTTTGATACCATCAAAGGATACATTTCACCCCATTACTGTCATGCTAAATCTTCCAAATTGGAATTAAAACTACGGACACGGAGAAATGAATCTTGCCCCGGTGAAAACGGGAATAAAACCATTTTCAGCAGCGAGACGCCTGCATATCCAAAGGTAGTCTGATAAGATGCTTTAATCTTCTTCCTGGTGCTGAGGAAATTGCGAGGAAGGTTAAAAGCCGAAACGCTGCGCTTATGCAAAGATAACGTTCAAATGAAAGATATCTTTTTATCGCTCCTCCAGCGTCATCGCATTCTGTCGCGGCATTCTGTGGAGATTTAAAAAAGTCACTGAGCTGGAGGCACTGTTATGACATGCATGACGGGTATTTGCGCTGGCAGAGTGACAGTTTTGACAAGTGCACAGGTTTAAAAAAAAAAAGGCACAGTAAGGAGTGAGTTAGCGGGGAAGAGGTGCTGTGCAGTTTTTCTAACCACACACATGGAGCTGAGGTGTGATTGATCAGCATAGAACTGACAGTCTGTCATTATGGGCTGTTATCCAGAAAGTGAGATTTGTGGATCGCGTCCATTCAGTTAACGGATGGTGAATCCGTCAAGCTGTCCCAGAAGTGCTACCGTTTCTGTTTGGCTTCATGCCTAGCAGCAATGTAAGCACATGTGCCTGTCTCATTTATTTTTAGGGCGGTGTGCAGCACTGCACCTACTCCATAATTACATCAGTTCCCTCCCGGGAGCAGGCTTTGTGGCATGAAACTCTCGCTTATTTGATTGGTCGCGACTAATGCCTGGACACATTTTCTCATGTTTGTCCTCTCCCTCGTGTCTTCTTTAGTGCTCATTCCCTCAAGTTCTTAGTTGACAGTTTCTCACTCTGATTTCCATCCAGTACTGTACCC